ATGGTTCCAACAGCAACAACGACAAGTTGTTCGAGTTTCTGAAGGAGCAAAGGAGGCCCCAACACAAACTACATGTTTGACTGTTGATATAATGTTCTATTTATTAAATGATGAGTTAGTTTTATACCAGTTATACGAGATGCAAACCTTGCAAAATCTTAAATTTTTATCTTGTTTTATGGGGCAACTGTGGCTCAGGTGGTTGGGAAGCTCATCTGTAACCGGAAGGTTGCCCGTTCGATCCCCCTGCTCTCTCTGTCCTGGTCGTTGTGTCCTTGGGCAAGACACTTTACCCTACTGCCTACTGGTGTTGGCCAGAGGGGCCGACGGTTCAATATGGCAGCCTCACTTCTGTCAGTCTGTCCCAGGGCAGCTGTGGCTACAACTGTAGCTTGCCTCCACCAGTGTGTGTGAATGTGAGAATAAATGAATAGTGGAATTGTAAAGCACTTTGGGTGCCTAGAAAAGCGCTATATAAATGCAATCCATTATTATTATTATTATTATTATTATTATTATTATTATTATTATCTTGTCAGTCCACTGAATATTTTCCCAAAGGTCTAGGGGATCATTATAATGTTTTTTGGCAAATGTTGTTTATTGTAATGCTTGAGCACTTTAGATGTTCAGATCCACATCCATAATGGACTATTATTAATAGTGCTGATGAAGTGATTTTTTTAAAATTTAAACTATTTTCAATCAAGTTAATAGAGATAAATGAATCATCATATTTTTGTATTCCTATTGTTTTCGGTTATGTGCCTATGCTGATAGTTGCTATGCAGCAACTCTCTATACTCTCGCCACAGGAGGCCTTAGCAGGGATAAACTAGTGAGTCCGTTCACATCAAGATAAACTGATAATTAGTCTTATGGTAGTGCTTTCGACTACTGATTAGTAATAATGAGGTAATAGTTGGGTAATAAGGTGGGAACAAAAAGGTAATAATATGGAAATTTGCACATTATTACCACCTAATAACCAAGTAATATCCAAGTAACATAATTGTAGCAACAATGGTTACAGGTGAGTAATATTATACTGAAATTCATTTACTGAATAACAAAGGGACAAAACATGGAGTGATAAAGTGGAAACAAAGCTATAACGATGAAGCAACACCAATTAGAGAAAGTAGTGTAATACCTTGGTAACAATATAAAACAACCTGCTAGCAATGCAAAGGATGTGTCTGTGCATTTGAATTATCATCTGTTAGAAAGGCTTTAAATGGTAATAACCTTTAATAATAATAAGACTGTTTTGACTGATGTTTTACAATAACAGGAAAGTATTACCATATTATAATGCTTCAATTCTAATTCTTTTTAAAAATTAATAAGGGCACCTTAAGAATTGCAATAATTACCTCGGAATATCTGTGGTACTTTCTGTGTAATACAAAGGAATCTGGGTTGCAAAATGCAAAACTGCCTGTTTCAACTTAATACCATGTTAATCACTACATAGTGCAGCCCAGATTCCTTTTATTACACATAAACTACAACAGGTATTCCTAGGTGATTATCACATTTGACGTTTCCTTTAATAAATTATTAATGTGGTACTAATGAAAAACAGGCAGTTTTGCATTTTGCGGTCCTAATTCCTACTTATATAACCAAAAAAACACCAGAGATATTTCCAGCTAACATGTCTTGACATTTCCTTCAATAGGTTAATTTTTTTTACCAACTAGAAATAGGCAGTTTTGCATTTTGCAACCCTAATTCCTGCTTATTACACAGAAACCACACGTACCATCAATGTTTCCATTTAATAAGTCAGAACGATAAACACAACATTTACATTATTGCTTTTAAGCAAAGTAGGATGCTGGAGAACCAGGATTAACTGAGGCATTATAATATTATTATATTATATTTCTTATTTTTCCTATTATTCTAAAACATCAGTGAGTACAACCTTATTCTTATGAGGTTATTACCATTTAAAGCCATTCTAATAATGGATTAAAATTCAAATGCACATACATAACCTTCATAGTGCTAGCAGGTTATCAAATTCTCATTATGCTACTATTACTAATTGGTTTACTCTTTTGTTTACTCTTACTCAGTTGTCAAAAAAAGGGCAATGTGTAGCTTGTTAGCACTGCACACAGCAGGAGTGGTAAGTCTGAGAAGTGCAAACAGATTCAAGTTTTCCAAGTACTATAAAGGTAATACAAAATAACTCACCTAGCTATTGTAAGGGCCCTGCCTGCATCAGGTAACCTAATTACCTGATTACTAATACTATGATGGCCTTTTATCCTGCTCAGGTTCCAGTGTGACTCAAGCATGTTGCTAAATGTTCATTCTCTGTCCTCTTTTTTTTTATATTCTTTTGTTGCTGTACTGTAAACTGACTGCCTCTAAAATTCTTCGAATTGTGTCACAGTTTTGTGTTTTCAGTGTTGTACAACTAAAAGTAAAGGTCATTGTAGATCAATTTAATCAATTTAATGTAGAAGGTTAAGTTATTTTATGTTGGAAATGTTTAAGGTCGTAAGACCATGGATTTTAACTTACATACTGTTTTTGTGTACACATCCACAGTTCTTATTGCCATTAAACCTAAAACAGAAGCTGTTCTGGATGGAACAAAAAGAAAGACTCTGGAGTCAGCTGGCAGGCTGCCTGATCACACAAACAATCCTCTGTCCTGTTTATAAAAATTGCCCTCATGTCAAGAATCCCCGGAATGTAAATAATGAAGGAAAACATGCAAACAAATCATCACATCTAAAACCCACTGCATATCATCAGTAAAATATCTTAACAATTAATGATATTAATGTGAGGGTTTACTTGATGCAGGCATTCCTGCTTATTTTAAAACTACAGTTGATATAGTGTAGATCCCTCCGGTCCATAAACATAAAAGATCCTGATTTCATGAGCAAATCAGGAGTTGCAGAAAAATATATTTGTTCAGAAGCATCGACTCTATAAAGCTGGGCAGTCTTATACATTGTGCATAGAGCTCCATAAATGCATGTGCTTTAGATTCAGATGTCTTTTCAACTGATGTGACTTCATGAGCAAGCACTCACTAACAAGATCAAAGCACAGCACAGCCACAGAATGTATGAATCAGACCAAAACAATCATTACTGCTCAGCCTGAAGGACTGATACGCATCATAGTAGGTTTAGACTTGCCAATCCCACTGACCTTCTTTCAGGGTTAGCGATGGGTTGACATTCCATGACAGTTTCAATATGGATAGGAGCAAGAATGCTATGTATTTTTGTGTTGTTGTTGCCCTACAAGCTCTGCTGTTTAGACTGATCTAGAGCAACTTTGACTCTGTTACATACTGTTGGGACTTGACATTGTTCCTAAACAATATTAGGACATGATAGATTGCTATCGGTGGTGCTGAAATAGTGGTAGGTCAGTCAGTACAGTGCTTGATTGGGACTGTAAAGTATTTCAGCAAGAGTCTAGTACTGTGGCTAAAAATTGTGCAAAATATTCAGAAAAATCTGATTTACTATTATACAATAACACACAGGTAAAACTGAAATAAATTTTAACTGTTCTTTTGCAACAGTTGCCATTTTACCATTTTAAGGATTTGCTTTACAAATCCTAAAAGGAGAAAATTTGTTCCAAGTCTGTGAAACAACTTTACTCTTGTTTGCTTATTTTGTTTTTCTATTAATTCCATAAATGCAAAATGAGCACGTTGATGCCAGTGTGATTAAGTTTGTCTTGCTGTATTGTTGTTTAGTCAGCACTTTATCCCAGCCTTACTCCCTATTGTGTCAGCTTACACCTAATGAAGGAACAGCCAAGTTATGTTCATTATTTACCATACTGATGACCTTTTAGAAGAGGCCTCTGTGATGTCAAAACAATGGATTATGAAGAGGATTTTGTAGAAAAAGCAAGCAGTATATTTGTCAGCCAGTCTGCATTGGGATGTTGAAGATAATATCAGTGAATGGGTTTGTCTGACATGCTGATATTTTTCACGCAAAAATAGGCAAGAAACAATATGCTTGGGATAATTTAGAAATTGTCTCATGATCTGTTAATTACACATATGTCATATGGTAATCCTTTTATTTTCGCAGCATAGTGAGGTATGACTGTGAGTGGTTAAAGACCTGTGGCCATTAGTTTGGCAGACTTAGCAAATGGATGAAGTGAGTTGAAGAAAGAATTCCACCAGCTAAATCACTTAAATATAAAATTATAGTTGGTTTGGATATTACCAGTGAGCTTTTTCACCTTTGTTTGGCTATTAAGATTTCATTGACACTTATGCAGCTGTCAGTTTTCCATATGGAAAGTCACTATCAGCAGAAGCCTTCTTGATGAATGTGGGTTGTTGTTTTTCAGCCTGGTTCTATTTGCCCCTTCTTAACTTTGCGCAGCCCTGCTTTAAACAGTAGTAACACTATTCCTATAACAGTGATAAAATTAATTGCTTGGTCATTGTCCTTATTGGTTCTGTTGCTCTCAACATTGCATTACGTAAAAGTAACACAAATCCCCGTGTCCAACTAAGGTTTGGGGACCGCTGAAGAAACAAAACGTGTGTAAATCTTACGGACTTGTCACTCAGTTCTTTTTTTCCCCTGTAACCACAACTATATTTCTATTCATCTACAGCCATCAGCAAACACTTTACAACAGTTTTTGCTCGTGTCCTCCTTCCAGAAACACGCTTTCCCCATCACCTTTAGTTCTGCATCGTCACACAACAATTAAAACATTCAGTGTCTCTAGTTAACAGCTGCAGAAGATTAGCAGTGTCGTTTTTGAATGGAGTGTTTTCCACAGACTAATCCGCTCAACCCCCCGCCCGTTTTTAACGTCGGTTGCATGATAAAACAGACAGCACGTCAGTCCTTCTGCTACTCGATCCCATACCACATATTTCATTTAGGGCAGCCTACAGGCAGTGCATAACTTTGGCGGTGGAATTCATAAACAGCAGTAGCAGAAGCGAGACACTTGTGTGAGGGGAGACTCACCTGAGAAAGACCGTCTCTCCTTGTCGGACTGTGATATTGTCCATCACTTTGTTGTAGGACTGAGAATCCCCTTGGCTGCGGACCTGCAACCCTGCAGGTACAAGAAACAAAATCCTCAGCGAGAGAAAAATTGTGCATTTGGAAAAAGCGACAAAATATCCCCGGATAGACATCGTCTTTAGCCTTCGAAGGCGCACAAACAAAAATCATACAGCGAGACAATGAGGCGGTCCTCCGCCGTGAACGGAGATTATTGTACTCCCAGTTCATTAGTCTTAATCCAAATCTTCTCGCCAGGTATTTGTGGTGTGAAGAGCAAGGAAGACAGAGGACGCTGTCTGGCTGCACTATGGATTATCACTGCCCTTTGTTTTAAACGGGGGGTGGGGATTATTCTCATTATCCCTCTGTTTGATTGTTTGTTTGTTTTTTCTTTGGGTTTTGTTTGTCTTTTTTAAAACATAAGAAATAAGACGTAAAGATCCCTTCAGGAAAGTATTGAACGCTTCATCCTCGGTAGAGAGAATCGAAAAAGTACACAATTAAGAAAAGAGGACTTGGAATCGTATTAAAAGGGAGGAAGATGCTAAGTTTGCGAACTGCATGGGTAGCAAGTGATTTGACGATCTGTAATAAGTGCGCTTTCTGTGTCATTGTGTAGTGTCTGCAGATAGTGTTCAATGAAAAGGGGAAAAAAACACGGCTGTGCTCATCATTATGGAAAAGTTCCTTCCTGTTAAAATATTTTATGATGATCGTTTTTATACTTTATACCACTGCATAGAAAAATCTGAATCAGAATCAAGAAAAAAGAACTTCAGTATACACATTTTTGAAGCATATACAGTGCAAAAGATTTGAGCCACCCTTCATTTCTTAATATTTTGATGGGAAATTAGAACACAACTGTAGCATTTTTTTTCTAATCAGAGTATTACTCTTAGATCTTGAATATTTCCTTTTGAAACGAAGTGCCAGAGTACCAGTAAACTCTTTTAAAAAGCAGCCACCTGTGCCTCCTCTCTCCTCCAAATGCATTTTAGGAATTGTGACATCCTGTACAATGTCAAACTGACATATTGTCTGAGTCTCAAACTAGAGAAGAGAGCAGGCACAAAATTGAGAAATGAGAAAATACCACTACATTTGGTAAACGCTTATACATAAACATCTTGACTGGCAATCAACATCCCTTTACAGTAGTTTATTTGGTTTTTCCTGTTGCCATTGTGCTCATCAGTGACATCCCTGCATGTTCGTCAGTTTGTAGCGAAATCTTTATTTGAATGATTACATTGCCAAAAATATTCACTTGTATGCCTTCACACCTCTTTCAACTTGAGAAACACTGCCTACTCACATTAACTGAATTTTATTTTAATGTATTGCACACCGACCTAAACATTTCAGCACTCCTGATGGCAATGGCACCTCACACAGAGGACACACTCAAAAGTCCTGTTTCCATTTGCAGCTTTAAGATTTGCAGTTTTTGGTACAAAATCTCTGCTATTCCACAATGGAATTTAATATTTTATTAATAAAAAGTTGGTACAAAGCAAAAAAAAGAAAAGAAAGAAAGAAATGTATTACTAATAATTCACAACTCACATTTCACCATCCATTCCTACAGTATTTTGTTATATAAGCCATGAACATTTCTTGTTCATGGCTAATTCACCAATTTACCTAAGATGTCTGGGGCAGATTCATGAATTTGTGGAGTTTGCATGTTTTCTCAATACTGCAGCCCATAAAGCGTGCCTGTCATATAAACCATTGTTTGTTACTTGCCATACCTTCCCTTTTTGAAACCATATCTCATGTCAAGATTGATGTTTAGACTTTATTATTTCCATTTTTATTATCAATAAACATGGTTTCACATTGTCTAAAGGTGTTTGGTGTTGTTCAGTAATACCAGGAGTTCACTCAGAAAACAACACTGGATACAAAAGCATCAAGAGACTGCTTTGATTAATGGCAACCTAATAACTAATAGAGTTGTTTTTTATAACTTGGTCATATTAGATGTGTTTTCTCTTTTAAAAATATGGATGTTTGAAGATAATTTCTGGCTTAATTAGAGAATGATTATTCGGGCAAGCTCTAATCTTCTAACCTTTTCTTTCTGCAAAATAATCAATTATCTTTTGACATAACAAATGTCCTCTTTGTTTTTACTACCACTGTCTGGTATCATAATAGTGATTCATAGCCAGGGTCACTGTATTTATAGAACAGGTGCCATGCAATCTTTTTTGAAGCACTATGTTACCACAGAGAATTAAACTTGCTCATGGATGACATTGGCTTTGGTTGTTTAGACAACAAATGAATGCAAAGTTGTTGGAACTAAATATAGCACATCTTCGCAACAAACTGCAATCTAAGAGTCTGCAACACCATTTACTGTATATTTATTGTTAGGATTAGATGTACAGGAAATAGATCATGCTGGTGCTCTCGACAGAAAGCCAAATGGTCCCCTCTGCTGCTCTGCACTGTGATCTGTCTTGATGATTTCCAGATGGCTAGCTTTATTATTTACTCATGTTACAGCTAGTGCTGTCAGCGTTAATCTCGATAAAATTATGTTAGTGCCATAACCGCATTAACGCAGCAAATCCGTTAGCGAGTTAACACAGATTGCCCCGTGCATGGGACTGCACAACGTCTAGCGTTAGCACAGTTAGCTCCTTAACGCTTTAGGGCCGTGCAGCCCCGCACACGGAGCTATCCGCATTAACTCGCAAACATAGATTTGCCCGATTAATGCGGTTATGGCATTAACATAATTTTAACGAGATTAACGCTGACAGCACTAGCTACAGCCTTATTCTAATATGGATTCAATTAATTTTTCACCTGAAAACTCTATATACAATACCTCATAATTAGGGATGGGTACCGGTGTCCGGTGCCATGATGGTACCAGTTCTGACATAAACGGTAGTAACCAGACCGAAAAGCAGCGCACATTTCGGTGCTTTATTTCGGTGCTTTTTTTTCCTGAGCTGTGATACACTTCTAGCCAATAATGTTACGTTTCCGAGGGTAGTAGGCGGGTCCAGGTACGTGCGTTCTTTTAGAGCAAAGCTACAGATTAAAAATGCCCAAGGCGAAGCGGTCAAAAGTCTGGCTGTACTTCACAGCAAAATGTGCAAACTCAGCAGCCTGCAACAAGTGCTTTAAGCTGATACTGTGATACTGTCAAAGGAGGTAACACCTCAAATCCGATGAAACACCTGGCGACGCATAGCATTTTTTTTAAAAGCCCAGAAATGCGCCGTATGATAGCTTCCTGCGAGACCTCACACCGAGCGCATCTACTGTGTGTGGGTTGCCTGTTATCTGACCCGGAGTTAGCAATATCCCCCAAAAACCCCGAAGAGGAGAGTCCTGGCCCCTAGCCCTGCCAGTGTAGCAGAAATGATGATGGATGATGATGGCAGCAGCAGCCGTTCTTCTCTGCGTGAGTAGCTTAATGTTGTTCGTGTGTAATTTACGTTGAGTAGGCTAACCACGTTATTACATTAATGCATGTAAGGTGAACTAGCAAACCTCATCATAGCTACATGCGGCTGTCTTCTTGTTTGATGGCAGATACTCCCTTCACCCTGGCCAAAAAGGCTAAAATGACCAAAGAAAAAGTGGAAAACAGTTAAACATGAGAGGTTTTGGACAAAGTTTGTGTTTTTTCCATTGATTAAGCACTGCTTCCAGCCAAGAGTGATACCATATATGCCCCATAGCTGCAGAAAAGGCTAACATTGTTATCTTTTTACAAAAAACCAGCTGAACATGAGAGGTTTTTGGACCAATTTTGTGTTCTCCATTCTTTAAGCACCGGTTTGAGCACCGTTTGAGCACCGGCACCGTTTCAAAAGTACCGATTTGGCACCGGTATCGGATAAAACCTAAATGATACCCATCCCTACTCATAATGACAAATGACAAAACTTATTTAAAATGATTGCACATTTATTAAAAATAAAAAACAATAATATAACATGTACATAAGTATTCATAACCTTGGACATGACACTCAAAAATGGAGCTCGGGTGCATTCTTTGTTCACATCTAGTAGCAGCTTCTACAACTTTATTGGAATCCACCTGTGGTAAATTCAACTGACTGGAAATGATTTGGCTCGGCAAGCCGGAGGAACGCGACGAGCCGGAGGAGCCCACAACGCCATCGGAGGGAGACCTCGGTGAGCCAGAGGGACTGCCACGTCCGTGAACAGCAGCCCAGCCGCCAAGCACAGTGGTAACACATTTGTTTTAGTTGGTCAAAGGGCTTGCACAAACCTCAGGACAGGCCTGCTCCTCTTTACATCAACGCTAAAACTGTTATGTATCTTATCTTCTGCTGTTCGATTTAAAGCTTCAACTTCCTCCACAGATTTTCTATAGGACTGAGGACTGGTCATGGTCATGCAGTAAGATCCAGTCATGACTCAACTTTGGTAAATGGACTGATTCTTATATAGCGCTTTTCTACACTGTAAACCCCAACAGTCTACCTGACTTATAAAGTTTTTGGATATAACAATTGAAATTCCTCACAAAGTTGAAACAACTTAAAACTCTTCTGTTCCGTTAACGATTCAAACAGTTATAATTGTACATGGCTTAGAAGTTAAGAGTAAATACTGCTTTCTTAATTATGATTTTTGAGTAAATGTTTTTTTTCCGAGCTCCACATGTGTATGTCAACTACGTCATGACGTTTTCTCTCTAACCTGAACGACGTTGACAGAAAACTCTGTTCAATATGGCTGCCCTTCTCGAGCGACTGGAGAGCACATTTGGAGAAACTTGTAAGTAAAACGGAACCTTCGTTATGTTTATTTTTTCCGTAAAAAAGCAAGTATATTAATATGTTGCAGCCAATAACTTGTTTTCGAATGCGCTGTTGTTTTAAAAAGCACAGACCCAGGTGGTGAGTAGTTGTTTGCTGTTGTTCGCGCTCTTTTTCAAACCGATGATGTCGTTAGTTTTACAGTTTTAATCGATTAAAACACAGTTTTAATAAGAATTGCACATAAAGAAAGTGTCTTAGTGATATTTTAACGACCCATTGCCAACGCAAGAAAGTTGGCTTTTTTAAAACAGCAGCCTCATTGTTCGGCAGGTTTTTGTTTTTCTTCTCATTAGCATCGTTCAAAAGTGACTTAGCTAGCAGTGGCAACTTCTATCTAAAATAGGGTTGCCAACCGTCCCTTAAAAAACGGAATCGTCCCGTATTTAGAAACAAAATTACACGAGCTAATAAGGGACGCACTTTGTCCTGTAATACAGTGAGAATCAAAAGTAGTCTATAACTTTTAATGGAATTAACACTCTGTTTGAAAACATAATTCCCAGCCCCTCTCCTGCTTTGTGACCAATGAGCTGACAGCACACTTATGACAATTCGAGTATGACAATTCAGATTACCGCTTATCTCATTGGTCGAGGAAAGGTCGCTTACGGAGAAAATACTGGAAGACAACAGATGACCACAACAAGAAGCATGGCCAACAGGGAAACAAACGCTGACACTGCAAGTCTCAGACGTCAGTACACCTAAAGCTGGGCAAACATTGTGCGATTTTTTCAGTCGCATTATTCAGCTCCTGCTCAAACTGCACGATTGACTCGCAGGGGTTAGAAGTCGAATTTCCCAGAGGAACCCACCCGAGGGATTAATAAAGTTCTATCTTATCTTATCTTATCTTAAGTTCGTAGGTCACGATGTACGTCTCACACTATACGGCCCGATGCTCTGATGCGACCTGAGAGCTCACCCTGTGCGTCCATAAAATTAAGGTTATAGCAGAAAATCTGTCGCTCGCTCTCTCTCTGTCTTTCACTCACACAGCACACCACCATCAACTTTGCTAAATTGCTAATGAAAAACATGATCAGGCAGCTGTGATTGAGCAGCAATGAAATCCAACTATTTTCACGGTTGTTGTGGTCGTGATAATTTTGTGAGGCCACATCGAAAAGGCTCGGATGAGCTTTCCAAAGTTCTACAAGTTGTGCCTCCATCACTTGTGGTCCAGATACACACGACTGCACTGCCTGCTGCTTCCGTCTTTTTCACCGACGTTTACGTGTTTGCGCGTGAGCAGTGTGAGCGGCTGCGGTGACACCCTCACGAGCGATTGATGATCGGGAGCTGGTCGGGAGCTCTTTACCCCACTTATACTACACGACGCACAATGAAGGCCAAAATCGGTCCGATCACCAAAACGGTTGCACGACTCAAAAATCGTCTCAAAATGGGCCTAAAACCACACAGTGTAAGCCCAGCATTAGAGCAGGGAAGAATGGGAAAAGGAAAACACCTGGCTGGAAAAAGTTAATATGGGCATGTGCAGTGATAGCAGCGCTTGGCAGAGGGTGTACTGTCATGGTCCTGGGTCAGTTGACCCAGCGTTTTGTGTTTTGTGATTATTTCCCTCTGTCTAGTTATTCTGTGTCCTCCCCCCTTGTGTCCGGTTCGGGTTCTAGATTTCCTGTTTTGTT